CTGCCAAGGGCAAGGTCTATGGCTCTTTAGCACAGATTAATAAATCTTCATCCACAACTGAAAGTGTGGCGATGAGTCTTCTCTTTGTTGGATACAGTCTTGGAAGGCTACTAGTTTGACATTTCAGTCAACGCAATGATAACTGCTTAAATAACAGTACTCTAATGGGTTTCATTTCCACTTGAATCCAATGAAAACGCCATTTGATCGCTAAGTTGTCATCTTCTATAATGCTTCTGTAATAAGCAAGAGCATTATGATCGCCGGTTATTATAATAAGAAGTTTCTAGGTTAAATGAAACAGAGAGAGAAATGGGCAAAGGAGCCATTCTTTTTACTAGCTCCCAGTGACTACTCATCCAAATAATTGACTGCAATGAGCTCAGATGCGGACAAAGGATGCAATCCATCCAGTGAGCCGGTGGTCTTTCCCCCTCGCCCCCTCACCACTTATGGGTTCAAGTTCTTTCTACCTCCATCTCCTTGTTCATGACCCTGAAGGCACCTCTCCTGTATGATGATAGAGCACCCCATCAAAATGAAATATGAATCTCAGAGGCTGGTGCATACAGAAGGGAGAAAGAAGATGGTGGTCATCAATACACACACACACAGAGCTCAACATCCCAAAAGAAGTCGGGAGAGGACAAAGTTCCTTTGTATGCTAGATGGCAGGCTCTGCACCTGAAACTTTGCCACAAGAAGAACAGAAGGAAGCAATGCAGTTGTCTCATGTCGTCGGTCGGTAGCCAGTATGTGAATTTGTTCCACATAAAGGCCTATAAGGAGAGAATGCTTGGTATAAAACAACTTTTGTTGACACAGCAGCACCACGTTCAAACATGCCCAAGTCTGCCAAAAGTGGATGCAACCCTGCCAAGTTAATGAGTGACATCATCAATCATGATGTTCAGTAGAAGATCCCTGCCAAAACAAAAAACACAGCTGCGTCCTTAAGAAAAGTACTGCCGATGTTTATCGCATGCGAACCTACTAGGTCCTGAAACCCAAATCCAGCAGTTTGAAAAAAGATGGCAAGGATAAATAATTGCATCATGTTTATAATTATGATTAATTATTAACTCAAATTTCTACTCCATGTCCCAAAAACACTTTCATAATAGCTTGTAAAGCATAAGACGCAGTACAATATACATGAAATGCCATCAGAGCAACACTTAAAAATAAATCCAAATATATAACAAAGTCATAAAACCACTCTGAATTCAATTTCCTACTTCAGGCATTTTTTAAAAGGGAAAAAGTTCTCATAAGCAGTGTCTGTTCTCATAAACAGCTTTTTTTACTAGTTTCCTGGAAGACAGCACTGAAATAGTCAGGGGGCAAGCCTTAATGTGATTTCTGAAGGCTGGGTGTCATTACCAAGATGATCCTAGCCCCTCTTGCCAACAGATGACATCATCATCATCATTATTACTATTACTACTACTACTACTATCATTGATTTATTGCTGGTATTTGTAAGTTGCACTGGGATTTTTTGGGGAGAAAAGCAAGATAAAAATGCTTTAAATAAACATACCCCACCATTACTCCAAGGAGCTCAAGTCCTCACAACAACCCTGTGAGGAAGGTTAGACTTAGGAGTAATGACTGGCCCAAAGTCACCCAGTGAGCTTCAAGGCGGAGTGGGAATCTGAAACCTGGTCTCCTAGGTCCTACTGCTCAGAACCCAACGGATGAGCAACATACCTGAATAAGAAGAGGAGCACTATAGCCTCTTAGGCCAGACCTAAACAGGATCCTGCCAGGTGCAGTTCCTGAGCAGTCTTCAAAGATGCCCACACAGACGGTGCATGACAGCAATCTAATCCAGAAGTTAAGAAGGGACAAAAGTCGGAGGCAAAGTCTTCATGGTAGGAACAAAGGAAGTCACCATCTATTGAATCAGTCTGTTGATCAACCAGGCTCAGTATCACCTACAATGATCAGCAGCATCTCCCCAGGTCCTTCTCAGTCCTACTGGGAGAGATTGGGGATTTTGCATGCACAACAGGGGCTCTACCACTGAGCTACTGCACCTCTTCTAGCGGAGGTTGCAAATGGATAAAGGCAGCTGTTACCTGCCTATTAAACAGCAGTTCTAGGTCAAGAACCCAAAAGTTAAGAACTTTCCATTCTAAGGGCAGTGAGATCTCATATAGAACAAGTCACCCACTGACTCCCGACTCCACAAGCTTTTTAAATTAATTAGACTGGCAGCATAACTTCTACTCTTCCAGTTTCAATGAACATCTGAAGTCACCTTTGAGTTCATACAGGTTGCAAATTTTTGCCTTGCAATCAGTCTCAACCAAATCCTAGAAACCCCAAAGCACTGGGCATGTTTTCATTAGCATATGCTGCTAACTCAAATGAAAGATTTATTCAGTCAAAAGAGCAGGTCTTGCTGTGTGGCACTTGAGCCTATCACCATTCAAAAGAGCATACGTTTTTATGTGCAGTCAACAGATTGTTAAGCAACAAAATTATTTTCTTCTGCTGGTGTTTGGGTCAAAATTATATAAATTGGAGACAATCCATAGCAAAGAATTCAGATACTGGAAATTGTATATGGAGCATCGGGGGGAGGGGGCTGAAGGGAGGCTCCAACTTTATCAAGCCAGCTGCAGCGAGATTTTCACATCTCATTAACAGCATAATGAAGGCTCAATCACAGATACAATAGTCTATAAAGACTGCCAGATTTATGAGCTGTACACAGAAGGTTCGACTTGAAGGGTTTGCTCTGACCGAGATTTATCATCGCCCACTTAAAGAGACCTTTTCAGCATGATACGGTACATGGAATATACATTAAGAGCAGACTGCAAAAGCAATTTGCACATTTCCAGGGGCTTTCATTAGGGCAACTACATGCCTAAGAGGCCACATATTAAAGAATTTTGACAAGTGGTACTAAGAAGTATAAAATGAAATCCATGCCTCAATAAGAGTGAAGAAGGGAGTAGTGGGGATCAGGGACATTGCTGGAAAGAAGCACGATTTACCTTGAAGCAAACAGCAAAACGAAAGCAAGCAGTTTTTAAGCAAACAACTGCACATGTTCCAGTAAACAGATGGAAGCACAATAATGATCTGAGCCTTCTTACCATGTTCCTTAGAGAAAACATAGTGCATGAGACAAAAATGACTGCACACTGCTACTACCATTTACCATTTATTTGGCATTGCTTGAGATCTAAATGTTGTGGATTCCTGAAGGTCACGAAGTGAATCTGAGGTGAGGATTAAAGGCAGGTGTAGAAAGCTGGCGGAAGCTTGCAATAATGCAAAGTGAGTAAGACACAGCAGTGGAATGGATGGTCAGAGGAACAGAAAAAGAACAGATACTGTATTGGCTCTGAAAACCGAAACGAGAAGCAGCTTTGTAATCACATTCCATTCTTCATTTAGCAAGAAGGACTTTCTGTATCTGAAGGCTGCTACTGTACCAATATAGTTGGTCAAATTACAGATATTGTCCAGCATCCTGTTTTCCACAGTGACCAACCACATGCTTCCAGGGAGCCTATAGAAGACATTTTGAAGCAAGGTTTGATCCTTGTGAAACAGAACGTTTCTCCTCCCACCTTAAATATATTCTGGGGTTTCTCCCAACCCTCTGGGGCAGCACAGAGCACACATGGGGGAAGAAGAGGAGGGAAATCTCATTGCACTAGGGCTAATCGTTGCACCAGTGCAACTATTTAGTTGAATATCACCCAATAGTATCTTGGTGCCACTATACAAGGCTGGGTGAGCCTCTGTATAAGTGAGCCTCTGTATAATGCAGATTTGTCAACCTTGGATCCTCAGACCCAGATGCTGTTAGACTCGAATTCTCATCAGCCTCAGCCAGCTTAGCCAGTGCTTAGGAATGACGGAAGTTGTAGGCCAACAACATCTAAGGGCTCAAGGTTGAAGAAGGCTGGCATAATGACTTGTTGATAATCCCTGGGAGAGGATGGTTAAAACCGGGGTAAATTTAATGACATGTAGAACACATCACACAGGGACACGGGTGGCGCTGTGGGTAAAACCTCAGTGCCTAGGGCTTGCCGATCGCATGGTCGGCGGTTCGAATCCCCGCGGCGGGGTGAGCTCCCGTCTTTCGGTCCCAGCTCCTGCCCACCTAGCAGTTCGAAAGCACCCCTAAGTGCAAGTAGATAAATAGGTACCGCTTTCTAGCGGGAAGGTAAACGGCGTTTCCGTGTGCTGCGCTGGTGCTGGCTCGCCAGAGCAGCTTCGTCACGCTGGCCACATGACCCGGAAGTGTCTCCGGACAGCCCTGGCCCCCGGCCTCTTAAGTGAGATGGGCGCACAACCCTAGAGTCGGACACGACTGGCCCGTACGGGCAGGGGTACCTTTACCTTTAGAACACATCACATGAGCAGAAACTGATCCCAAGACAATATTGAGATCCTACAAACATTCCAAGAGCATTCACACCAATAGCCACGAGTCTTTAGAGTACAAAACAATATATATGAAAGTCATGGCAAAACACAAAAAAATTAAGGAAAATACAAGGCAAATCTCTTCAGTCTAGAGGTTTAAAAATTCACAGGGAAGGAAGGGAAATGAATGGTTTACATATTAGCATATGTTGTCCATATAATATTCATTATACGGACAACGTATGTCGGTATGTAAGCCATTAGTTCCAAATATACTTCCAAGAAAAGTTAAAACATAATACTGGCAGTAAAATTGCACAATGAAAAGATAGCCCATGGCATGATCACCTTATTACCAAACTAATTAAGGCACAGCATCACCTAAATGTGCTTTTCTCCACGTGTCACCTAAGAGTTCTCTCACTCTGTTTTGAAGCTCTCAGCCCCTATGGCCACTGGGCTGATGCAGCAAACACTGACAAAAGCCCGCCACCAATCCCCATCAGAGTAGCAAGCTCCAATTTGGTACAAAAGTGAAACAACCAGAGCCTCTTGTGCTTTGCAACTCAGTTCATATGTCTAACTTTGGTTGTACTTACTGTGGTCTCGATCCTTAGTCAATATGCATTCTTTTATAGATTCTGTTATTCCAAGACTGGCGGCTGTAGGGAGAGGGCCAAGCAGGGATTCCAGGGCAGGCGGCCTCAGAGGAGACTCTTTTTCCTTTGACCTGTCTTTATCCAGAAGTTCACTGTAAAAGTCCTTGTTTAAATGATTCGCAGCTGCTTCCAGCTCTTCGTCTTCTCCCTCCTCTTCTCCAAATATACTTGAGGCATTGTCTTCCATGCAGTCTTTAAAGGGAGAGGATCAAATAATTTCATCAAAAATGTTAAAACAGATGTGTGCTGGCAGGCTTCTTTAGACTCCTAAGAATCTCTCACAATCACCATTTCTTTCTAGCGTGAGTTCATTACTCGTCCTTGTCAAAAAAAACAAACACCAGAGCCACACTCCCCTCCGCTCAGTGAATGCATATTGAAGGTGTGAACAGAGCTGGAAACATGCCCTCTAAAGATGTGGTGGCTGGTGCAGAGGCTGCCTTGTGAGCAAAACCAATGCCATTGTGAATTAATTCAATATTTTGCAGTTTTAACTGTGGCGTTTCAGTAACGAAGCAACATTGTAAAGGGGGGAATTGCATGGACCAATGGTACCAAATAGTATGGGAAACAGCCCTACTAGAAAAATTAACTAATAAACTGAAACTGACACGGGGACAAACAGAAGAAGACGCCTTCACCCCGGTATGGCTCCCCTTTATCACACACACAGCCCAACAGGACAATGACAATAATCCACCAACAGCATACAAATCAATATGGCTAACCTGATCCAAAACACCCACCCACCTCACTCACACACGAAAACAAAGATCACCACAGCCAATCACAAGCAACCACACCCTAGGCCAACCCCAACCTCTCTCACCACCAAAGGAACACAAGTGAACAACACAAGCAACGCTGACACCAAACTCTACATGCATTAAACATAATAGAAACACCGCCACCCGACCCCACCCCCATCCATCTTCCCTCTCTCCACCCCCTTTCTTTTTTGTTTGTTTTTTTCTTCTCCCCCTAATGCCTCAACAAATGAAACGGATTTGTAAAAATGTTACATGGGGGAAAAAATACGAGGCACTACACTTCTGTAAAACAAGAAAATCCTTAATAAAAGGGGGGGGGGATTGCTAAAATTTTCTTGAAGCCACCAAAACGAGAGGAAGCATCTGCCCAGCACCCCTCCATCATTCCTAGGTCCAGCGCCAGCTATGAGCACCCGCCCAGCAAGAGACTTTGCTGAGACCAGCAGAGGATCAATTTCCCCAATTAGCGGCTGACAAGCCTGCTCACAGTGCTTCAAAGTTGGGCTACTGGTACAAGAGAGGTTGCCTTCACAGCTTCCTGCCTTCAGAAATCCCACTCCTTAAGAGTTGGAAGACCACAATCTCTTGATTAAAAGCTCCCTCACACAGATGCCAATGTAACCAATGAAATGATCTGAACAATGAAATGTAAAGATAGAGATGCATTATTCCACAGTCTTCAATTTTGTTTTATTTTTAAATCAATGAGTATAACACAGATGGGCACCATCATATATTTTACTACTTTCCTGTATGTCCGTGTTTAATGCATTTCTGGTGACTGGGAGCTCGCAAAAGGTTGGGAAGGGAAATGAAGCTATTTATATCCCATACGTACTTACAAAGTTCTTCAGTTGAGTAGACATATCATCTGGGAAGACATTCTCCAATACCAATGCCTGCTCTCTTTTTTTCCCTGGAAGCTATTTGATTTCTCTACCAATAATTTTTAAAAGTCAATGCAAAACTCTCAATTCATCTAGTTAGGGCTAACAACACTGAAAGAGGTATCACAAATTCCCCAACTCTGTTAGAAAATCCAACTCTTCCTGCGTCATTAAAGGTATAGGGTAAAGGGACCCCTAACCATTAGGTCCAGTCGTGGCCGACTCTGGGGTTGCGGGTCTCATCTCGCTTTATTGGCCAAGGGAGACGGCATACAGCTTCCAGGTCATGTGGCCAGCATGACAAAGCCGCTTCTGGCGAACCAGAGCAGCACACGGAAACGCTGTTTACCTTCCCGCCGGAGCAGTACCTATTTATCTACTTGCACTTTGATGTGCTTTTGAACTGCTAGGTTGGCAGGGGCAGGGAGCAAGCAATGGGAGCTCACCCCGTCACGGGGATTTGAACTGCTGACCTTCTGATCGGCAAGTCCTAGGCTCTGCGGTTTAACCCACAGCGCCACCCGCGTCCCTCCTGCAACATTACTAGCTTACAAATGAAATACTTCCTTTTCCTCTATATTCCAAATTGATGCACTTATATACCCAAATTCAAAACTACGGTAAAATCATTCTCACATTTAACATACTCCTGATTAAGGGATTTTAAACAGACTTACCGTCTTTACTGAAATTTGCATAAACTCCTTTTGCTTTTGGTCTGCTATTTTCTAATTCAATCTCTATTTCATCTTGGTAGCTTGATATTTCACCTGTGGTACATACAAATAATTGTCAACAGTGCACAAACGCAACGTGGCAGAAATAAGACAATTGAATGAAATGTAGCCCCTACCTTCTAACTCTTCAAGCTTTTTAGACAGCTCCTTCTCAAGCTGGAGAAAGGAGAGAGGAAGACAAATGAACAACAGAACCAAACTGTACGTTAGGAAGATTTACAAGCACCAATAACTATATCCTGTAAAAGATATATTCTGCAGCAGGCCTGACAACGTTCAAAATCAACAGTTGTGCATGAGCTAAACAGGTATGGATTGCATCTAGAGTTTACAATGCACAAGAGAGCCCTATGATCTAGGACACAACAAAAGAAAAGGACTGGAAACTAGATTTAAAATACTGCTTGAAACTCTCCACTAGATTCATGCCTCAATCCAATAACCAAAGAAAAACTCACAAAAGGTATTTGTTACATTCCTTGGTTTACTTTATTCGCTCTGAAGCTTGCAACCAAAAGCAAATGCAACAAAACCCCACTGGGCATTACAAAGTTTGGCAGTATACCTGACATTCATAAATGCTGGGGTGCTAAGTTTCTCAAAATAAGCCCTTTGACGGGGGGGGGGAGCTGAAATCCAGAATTAAGTACACAGATTTGATGACAGGATAGGTGGACATTCTGAATTCACAGCAGGGTAAGATGGACTCATAATCAATCTAGAAAGCAATTTAGGAGACAGAGAAAGTTAGTTGCCCAAGGTCATCCACCCATTTTCATGGCTGAGTGAGGATTTGAATCTGGCCACTTCACTGTCTCGTTAATGATTTGCACGTAATTTTCAAAAGGTTCAAGCCATAATCTTCAGATACAGAAACAGATGAACCAGCTCTTAAAAATTATAGGGGGCTCCATCTCTAAGCGGCAAAGAACATGCCTTACATGCAGATTCTCTAATACAGTCATACCTCCGGTTACAGACGCTTCAGGTTGCATTTTCTCGGGTTGCGGACCGCCAAAACCCAGAAGTACTGGAACGGTTTACTTCCGGGTTTCACCGGTCGCCCATGTGCAGGAGCGCTAAATCACGCTTTACGCATGCACAGAAGCGCCGAATCGCAACCCGCGCGTGTGCAGACGCGCCACTGCGGGTTGCGGATGCTGCAGGTTGCGAATGTGCATCCCACACGGATCACATTTGCAACCCAAACGTCAACTGTACATCATTCACTTTACAGTGGTACCTTGGGTTACAGACGTTTCAGGTTACAGACGTTTCAGGTTACAGACTCCGCTAACCCAGAAATAGTGCCTCGGGTTAAGAAGTTTGCTTCAGGATGAGAACAGAAATTGTGCGGCGGTGGCGGGAGGCCCCATTAGCTAAAGTGGTACCTCAGGTTAAGAACAGTTTCAGGTTAAGAACGGACCTCCGGAACGAATTAAGTTCTTAACCCGAGGTACCACTGTATTTGTAATAATGACCCATGATTAAACAAATGAGTACAGTGGTGCCTCGCAAGACGAAATTAATTCGTTCCGCAAGTTTTTTCTTCTTGCGAGTTTTTCGTCTTGCGATGCACGGTTTCCCATAGGAATGCATTGAAAATCAATTAATGCATTCCTAGGGAAACCGACTTCAGACCAGGTCCGGGGACAGTCTGTCCCCCGACCTCTTCTGAAGGCTGGGGGGGGGACAAGGGCTTTTCTTCCCACCCCCAGCATTTTAAAAAACCCCAGGACAGCGGAGGACTTCTCCGCTGTCCGGGGCGATCTTAAAATGCTGGCGGGCGGCATTTTAAAATCGCCCCGGGACAGCGGAGGACTTCTCCGCTGTCCGGGGCGATTTAAAAGCCCCTGGGAAGGCAGGCAGGGGGGACAAAGACTTTTGCCCCCCGCCAGCCTTCAGAAGAGGTCCTGGACCTCTTCTGAAGGCCGGCGGGGGGCAAAAGTCTTTGCTCCCCACGCCTGCCTTCCCGGGAGAGCGGAAAAACGCAGCGCGTTTCTCCGCTCTCCCGGGAGGGCTTTTAAAGGCAGGCAGGGGGGACAAAGACTTTCGCTCCCCCCTGCCTGCCTTCAAAAGCTGTCCGGCCAAGGCTTCGCGGACCTCTCCGCAAGCAGCGGCAGCGCTGCCACTGCTTGCGGAGAGCTGCCGGCATGCCGAAGCCTGGGCGCGCTGAGATCAGCGCGCCCAGGCTTCGCGCCCCGCCGCCCGGCTTCGGGGCATCGTCCCGATGCCGGGCGGCGGGGGGAGAGGTTCCCGCCCCGCCGCCCGGCATCGGGGCATCGTTCCGAAGCCCGGCGGCGGCGGGAGGAGGTGTCCCCGCCTTGCCGCCAGGCTTCGGAGGAGGTCCGAGGACAGTGGGGAAGACGCACTGCGCTTCCCCGCTGTCCCGGAGATTTCCCTATGGGCTGTCGTCTTGCGAAGCAAGCCCATAGGGAAATTCGTTTTGCGAAGCGCCTCCAAAACAGAAAACCCTTTCGTCTAGCGGGTTTTCCGTCTTGCGAGGCGTTCGTCTTGCAAGGTACCACTGTATTTCACTTATACCCAAATGCTGAAAGGAAGGGACCTAGACAGTTTGGTGGGCCATATCTGCCATATCCACTTCATATGGCCACCTACACACATTGGCTCAATGGTGGGGCACATACGTTGCATGCAGAAGATCCCAGGTTCAGTTCCTACCATGTTCAATGAAGCTGATGATGTAGCAGGAGATGGGCAAGTCCTCAGTCTAAGACCTTAGAGAGCTGCTGCCAGTGAAAGCATACAACATTGGGCTAGATGGACAAATACTCTGACCTAGTTCAAGGCAAGTTCTGACAAGTTGTAGATTGGTTGCAACTGCCCAGGAAAGAGGTCTGTCTGGTGCTTCCTAAGCATCAGATAATTAAAATAAACATCATCATCAAAAATAAGAGAGTGCAGAGAGTACTCATTTTGCACAGTAAAGGCATAATGGCTCTCATGTACCAACAGGGAAATTGCAATGGATTAGCCCTGCATTTTACTGTCTGTGGCTGCCATAAATGTCACAGGGAGAGGGACACCAACTACATTTATAGCCATCACAAACTGGCTATTTCTCAAAAGACCACATTCAATGCATGGCATTTATAGGGCTTTATATTTAATGGGATACTCAATTTTGTCTCTACAATCTGAGTATGCAGATTTTCCCACTGCTGACTCAAGCGCACACACATGCACAAGGTGCCTGATTGCTATTGAATAGGAAACTTCTCTCCTCATAAACAAGAACCTCTCTTGCCTGGACTGAGCAGTGTTAAGGCAGTCGATTTCATTGGGTGACAACATCTAGTACTCTGAAAGTGAACAATCCCTCCCTGTCTAATTACTCCACACAATTTGGTAATTTTATAAACCTCTATTAACACCCCACCCCACTTAAATCCACTGTTTCCTCAACTAAAATCTGTAACATCCTTATTCATTCCTTGTAAGAAAGATGCTCTGGCCTGCTCATCATTTGAGTAGCTGTGTTCTGTATCTTTCTGTACCAGCAGTCAAAAGCTGTCTTCGCATGGTACGCAAGAGGTTGTCCCAGGGTGGTGGGTGAAGCAACGACTGTACTTTCTCTCACTTCATTTTATGCCGGCGGCGATTTTGTATTATGCCACAGCCTCATGGCAGCCACTTTGTGACTGGCACCCAGGGCACTCTTTCAAAATCCGAAATGTGTTTCCTGGGACAAAAAGGTTAGCAACCCCTATTCTAAGCCACAGGGAACCGCCTTATAGGGTGCAGACTAGTTTAACACCCAGCCCAGCATTGTTTGCTCAGGCTGGCTGTTTGGGGTCTCACAAAGAGGTCTTTCCCATCACCTGCTGTCTGATCTTCATAAAAGGAATGCTGACAACTGAAACAGAGACCTTCTGTGTGCCTGTGCTCTACCATGGAGCTGTGGCCATTGCTTTATACACCTAGGGGGAAATATCTCTTCTGGCATCATGTTGCCACCCAGTTTGGATAGATCCTTTGGTATCATTCCCAGCTACCTCCTTGACAGAATGAGTCAGCATCCAAATGTGTAAGTACCTTCAAAATAATAATAATAATAATAATAATAATAATATAATAATAATAATAAAAATAATTTATTTATACCCCACCCATCTGGCTGGGCTTCCCCAGCCACTATGGGCAGCTTCCAACAGAATATTAAAATACAATAGTCCATCAAACATTAAAAGCTTCCCTAAACAGGGCTGCCTTCAGATGTCTTCTAAAAGTCTGGTAGTTGTTGTTCTCTTTGACATCTGGTGGGAGGGCGTTCCACAGGGCGGGTGCCACTACCGAGAAGGCCCTCTGCCTGGTTCCCTGTAACTTGGCTTCTCGCAGCAAGGGACCCGCCAGAAGGCCCTCGCGCTGGACCTCAGTGTCCGGGCAGAACGATGGGGGTGGAGATGCTCCTTCAGGTACAGTGGTACCTCTGGTTACATACTTAATTCGTTCCAGAGGTCCGTTCTGAACCTGAAACTGTTCTTAACCTGAAGCACCACTTTAGCTAATGGGGCCTCCCACTGCTGCCACGCTGCCACCATGCGATTTCTGTTCTCATCCTGAAGCAAAGTTCTTAACCCGAGGTAGCATTTCTGGGTTAGCGGGAGTCTGTAACCTGAAGCGTATGTAACCCGAGGTACCACTGTATACTGGACCAAGGCCGTTTAGGGCTTTAAAGGTCAGCACCAACACTTTGAATTGTGCTCGGAAACATACTGGGAGCCAATGTAGGTCTTTCAAGATGAGAGTTATGTGGTCTCACGGCCGCTTCCTGTCAACAGTCTAGCTGCCGCATTCTGGAAACTACATAGTTGTAGTTTCAAAAGGCAAAGTTAAGTTTCAGCAAAGATCTGGTGGGGATAAAAACTTTCTGAAAATGTCTCTAGAAAACCTTTTGGAAAAAGAGGATTTAAAGACAACACTGAGGAGGAGGAGGAGGAGGAGGGTGGGTGTTTTCCCCCACAGTGGTAATAATTTATATGCAAAATTAGTGATAGATATTTCAGGAGAATCAGCTCAGGAGCAGATTCTAGTGACACTCTGCATGTCTTGGCAAGCAACATTTGGAGCAATTCCAATGCAATTTAATTGTAATTAATAGCAGTGCTTATTTTAAAATGGACCAGTTGAAACACAGAATTCTATGTAATGTTGTATTCCTCCCCCAACCCTGGGCATCTCCATTGGGAGCAGAACTTGAAAAGGGGTTTTTTTGGTGAGGGGGGGGGATCCAATTAACAAGCAAATACCTTTCCAGCTGTGGCCTTGGTTAATTGGGGTGGAAGAATGAGAGTGGCATACAGAAGAGAAGGAATGTACAGGCAACAAAATAAGCTCAGCTGTATCGTGTGAAAGATTTTAAATCTTGTAAGTCAGAATAAATTTGTCGCTGCACTGGGTGGTGAGCTGATGGGGAGAACTTGGGCACAGCAGGTAACCTGCCAGGAATTATGTTGAAAGCAACTGTTGACGGCTCTGCAAACGGAGCGAACGCTCGTACCCAGCAGAATTTCCCAAGCAAAGGCGGGCACTGAACTCAAAACGCTGATGCAGGGCTGGCACATATTCACTTCTTCAACTATCTTCTCTCTGAGCGTTCCCTGGCTACAGCTGAGTCCTCTCTCGCCTCTGCCAGAAAGCTCCACAGCCAAAACCGTCCACCACTCCTTGTTGCACAGATCACATGCCTCCCTCCTTTCTCGATCCCTCCCACATCCAGTGCATCCTTTAAAAATCTCTGAGAACTTGACCCATCTTTCGGCTCTCACTTCCCCTTGCCTGTGACCTTCATTCATCAAACTTTGCTGCCGAAACACAAGACTGGGCAAGGCTTGCTCTCAAATGGCTCCACCCACTCACCCTTGCTGCCCCCTCTAGCCATAAGAACCTATGTGCTCTGATCAATCAGCCCAGCGGCCCATCTGGTCCAGCAATGCGCTCTCACGGTGGCTAACCAGATGCCTACAGGAAGCCCATGAGGAGGATGTAGGCCCTATGGCACTTTCCCACTTGTAATCCTCAGCGATATCAGAGCATACTGGCTTCAATGCAGCATGTAAATAGCCTAATCCTCTCTTGCAGAATGCCTACTCCACAATGCTACTTCATTCTTCCTTACAGCCCCTCCTCAAAAAACCCACTTTTTCTATGAAGCCAGTGGCATTTCCCTTTGCCAGCATTCCTCCCCCTTTTCCTTGCATCTTCCCTCTTTCTTTCTTTCTTTCTTTCTTTCAAAAAAGACTTCTAATTCCTTAGGGTGTGGATTTTTCTCATTTTCATATGTAAAGAAAGACACCCTACACATTGATGGTTCTAAATAAATAATAGGTAATATCATAATGAAGTCAAGAGCTGTTAGAAATTGAGCTATCAGTGCACGGTGGAAGGGTCTTTTTAAAATAATCTTATCACTATGAAAAGCGTATCACCACCACCCAGGTCATTCAGCAGCTTTCCAGAATGTGTGTTAGACTGTGTAATGAATGCCTCTTTGGCAGTTGTTGAAAGGGCTGTGTGTGTGTCCAGTAGCGGACTTGACTCATTTTTCTCTTGGCACACTTGGGCCTGTCAAATATTAGCCCTTCCCTGCCAAAGCCCACAGCTAATACAGATAAAATAAAAAAAGTACTGAGTAGCTCAGCTGAGTCTGCCTGTTTGGACATGTTGGTGGGTATGTTTCTGGGCCAAACTCAAAAAAATCCAAGGAAATAAAACATCCGAGGCTGTTTCCTAGGAATCTGAATTTTTCAGCCTGGAGTTGCTTGCCCAAATCCTCATCACCAGTTTCAGGCATCTGAAATGTACATCTGGCAGCATCAGTCACCAGGGTGAGAACTTGTTCAGAGGGTAAGGGGCAGGCAGGGTGGCTTTCAGCAAGCATGAAATTCTCACCAGATAAATTGAGGTGAATGGGGAAGTTTAAATAATATCTGAAATGAAGCCATCCCCATGCACGTCAGTGGCCTCAACCTTGCAATTGGCAGGCATGTCCAAAGTCCGTTTCGAGGGCCTAATCCGGCCCCTGTGGCAGTTTATTTCCTGGGGTAAAATCCTTAAAAAATCTCAACAACTTCAATCCTTAAAAAAGTCAACAACTTTAGTTGGCCCTTTGGTCAGCCCTCACGGCCCTTCACTTCATCAAATCTGGCCCTCTTTGAAAAAAGTTTGGACACCACTGGAAGGTTAAGTAAAACCTCTTTCTGAGTGAGTAGCTCAGAGGACCAGCTGCTTGGAGGATTAGCCGCTGCTCTATGTCATTTAAAAATGAGTGGTTGGGATAGTGGATTTGTTTGCAGGATGGTACCTTTTGAGTTTTGTATCAGCAACAAGTATGGTTCATGTAATATGAGGGTACCAGTGGAAACAGAAGACAAATTGTGCTACAAATGAATTGAAGGCTACAACATGGCATTGCCCAGAATAGATTCAACCTACAGTGTTTGTACTTAACAATAGATCAGTATTCTGGTAGGAGCAAAAGACAATATAGAATAACAAGCTGGGCCTGCAACAAAATGCCGCAGTGTAGAATGATCCTGAGGGTCAGATTTAAGGTGCTGGTTTTGACCTTTAAGCCCTTCACGGCCTAGGACCCTCATACCTACAGGACCGCCTCTCCTGGTATGCCCCACAGAGGACCTTAAGGTCCATAAATAGCAACACCCTAGTGGTCCCAGGCCCTAAGGAAGTTAGGTTAGCCTCAACCAGAGCCAGGGCCTTTTTAACTCTGGCTCCGGCCTGGTGGAACGCTCTGTCTCATGAGACCAGGGCCCTGCGGGATCTGATTTCTTTCCACAGGGCCTGCAAGACAGAGTTGTTCCACCTGGCCTTTGGCTTGGAATCAGTTTGATTCCCTCCCCCTCTTTCTTTTTCCTTTCTCCTCCTGTGAAGAGGCTGGATCCTAATGTTTTAATGTTGTATTTTAATCTTTTTTTTAAACTGTATTTTAATCAACTTGTTTTTATTATTGGTTGTTAGCCGCCGCCCTGAGCCCGGTCTTGGCTGGGGAGGGCGGGATATAAATAAAAAATTATTATTATTATTATTATTATTATTATTATTATTATTATTATTACTGCTCCAGTCAATCTTGTCTTCACCAATATTCAATCCATTTCCTCCCCACATCCACCTTTCTGTCCCCCACCCTAACAGTCAGCATTCCATGTCCCCTGGGTACACCATCCTCACTGGTCTGTTCGGGGAAGTTCTCCCCTTACTTTTCTTTTTCTAATTTTTTTTATACTTTTGCAAGCCTTGGGGTTCTTTCGTGCCTGTCGATATCTACTCCCTCGTTTGCAAATGGTACCACTTTGGCTATAGAAGGACCATCACTCACCTCTGAAATTTGGGGGTGGGGTGACAATACAATGTGGAAAACACCATTTATCACATCCACCCCACCCATATTATCTCCTGTCATCCTACCCAAAAGAAGCAAGCATTAAAATCAACAATAGCACCATACCAACAAAAGATCAATGGCTGTACAAAAACCTCATAGAGTTCGTAGAATTAGCAAGTATGACAGCCAAAATAAGGGACTGGGATGAAAGGGAAACAAGGGGCAAGTGGGAATATCTTGGAGAATACTTAAAAAGAGATGACGTTTGCAAGTGGGAACAATTTTCTGAGCAGCAGCAATAGAAACTAAGGAAAAGATGGGAGTAAAGAATGGCGGAGAAACTAATTGAGATGCAGCAGAATGAAGGTTTTCTCTAGAGGATTAGATTGGGAAATCTGAATGAAATGCTGTAAGATGGAAAAATGTAAAAAGATGCAGAAGGTATACTGTAAAATGTGTGAATAATAAATAAATAAATCAACAATAGCTCAAGCTGATGCCAATCAATGAAATTTCACACGTATCAGTTGGCAATGCTTTGCTCTGCGCTGAAAGTAAAATATGAAAGGGCTTAGGGCAGGGTCTTCTTTGTGCTGGTGCTTTGGAAAGTTCACACATTTAGATGAATGATGAAAAAGATATTAAATATTTTTTTCTTTTTCATGACACATGTGTGGGTCTAAGTAGATCCTAATCCTGATTGTTTTTGAGAATTATTTTTACACATCAGGTTTCGATGACGTGTTGGGGCTGACCTCACTATTATATGATCTTGCTGGTATTATGTGCACTTTCATGTGGTTCTTTTTTCATCGCTCTTGGCTTCCAGATGGAAGAATAAAGCAGGATAGAATTCTATAGACACTGCCTCCCCAGCCCCAAAAGCAAGGAAGAACTATGCGTACAAAAGCACTCACCTGCTGAATCTTCATCTTTCGTTGACCAGCTGTAAATGAAGGAGGGTCACATTCCTCTTCCAAATCAATTGTCATGAACTCATCTATTGTTAGCTGACTTGCAGGTGTGTCTTCAAACTCTGTAAGTCTAAAAGCACATGTGAAAAGGTTAACACAGGATTTCTCTCCGTGAATTTCACAGCAGACCAACAGAAAAAGATGTAAAAGATGTTCCCCAATTCAAAACAAAACTAAGTAAAGAACTCAGCCAAAACAATTTCAAATAACCCGTCTTGAATGACCAACAAGCAAGGCCTATAATCTTTTTTCCAACATAAAATGCCCACTGAAATGCAATTCCAGAGGGATAGTCATATTAATCTGCTACAGCGAAAATAAGAAAGAACATTGTGGCTAACAAGACTAACAATTAAATAGGGCAAGAGCTTTAATCAGATGTATGAAGTGCTATCGTGAGTTGCAGGAACATATATGCCCATGGATAGCGGGGTTATAAACAGTGAAGTCACAAGGAAATTCCTGCATTTAATTTCCTTTATAATCAACCTTTATAGATCTTTATAATTATCATTAACTTGACTAATTTATAAACTGCTGCACAGCCTGATGCTATCAAAGCACTGTATATAACAAAATAAAAATGAGATAAACACAAAAAGTGCAAGCTCTAAAAGCAACAAAACCATTTGTACAAATTCTTATAATTATTTTTAAAAGTTCTACAGATATACAATGAGCATTCCATAAATTACTGGGTTAGACCTCAGAGAAAGCCTTCTTCCACAAAAATAGAAGACGCTACTACGTCATTAACAGTAGTCAAATTAAAATGTAGGAACAAGCTTTACGTTCACCTCAAAAAAAATGTAATAAATCAATATTGTTTAAGTATTCATGATAGCCCCCATATTGCAATCAAGTTTAAGTCATCCAGCCCTGCACTGACAGCAAGGCCTACAGCGTCAAAAGTAGAGGTCCCTTCCAAGCCTGTAACCTGAGATCCTTTAACTTGAGATATTTGGGAACGAATGTGCAATGTTATGTTACACATGCAAAGCTCGAGCAGTGACATTTTGGGTGTTGTGTTTTTCTTAGCAGACACACAAACACCAAAATGTGGGGGAAATTTATCCAATACTTTCAAATCAATAGAGTGCAAGAAATGATTCCCAGCTCTGGCCTGGGAATAACCATGCTGCTTTTAGAAGCATTTCTCTCCCCTCTCCTCACTTCAAGTGTGATGAACACTACGTACTTAATAACACTTTGCATTCTTATAGCACATTTTAAGTGTTCAAAGCACTTCATATACTCTTGCAGTAATGTTGTGAGGCAGGCCAATATTATCAGCCCCATATTGCTGCTGGCAGGAAGCTGGAGCTGAAAGGACAATCACTTTGCAACCACTACTTGATGAGCTCCAGGCGAATGTGAAGCTTGAAGCAGGGACTTCCTGGCTTCTGCTCTTAGCACCTGCACTGCAAGCGCTCCTCAGACTGGGGGCAAATAGCAACCGTACGTCACAAAATGGCAAAAGCTATGCCTAGTGGATGAACCATCCATCTCTCATGCCAGGAGGACCTATCCTGCAGGAATTCAAGTACCAACTGTTCTCCAAGAAGGCATTACATACCATCACAAGCTTCACCTTGAATCTTCAGGTGAGGTTTTTCAATGTAATCGGCCCCTTTTCCCACTTCCTGAAAAGTTACAGTCTTTACAAGTTACAGAACTGGCTATCCGAGATAATTCTGTACCTCTGGATTGGGACCAACCAAGAAAGAAAATGATCTGGGCTTGTTTTGGTGGTGGTAGTGGGGGAAGCAGTGATCGAGACACCTGTTGCCAGCAAGAGATGGGATAGCTGATTTCTTTCACCAAGCAGTTTCTCTGATTTATTTATTTTGTTCATTCTGCACGCACATGCATAGTGCATACAGAAGAGCAGGTAGCAGTCTGGAAGCAGGCGTGAATAGGGACAGCACTGACCCCCACCCCAACTGAAATTGGATGCGACTCCTGGCCCTTGTTCCTACTGTGACCTAAGAGGGTGGGGAGGGTCCTGGGGGCTGCCCTATTAACTCTCACGGTGGCCTTGCCACATGAAATAAAAGAACAGGTGGCAAAAAGGAGCCACCCTAGCTGCCTGTTGACTTATATCCATGACTAATAAGTTGACTTATATCCAACTCTCTTCTCTCCTGCTATACCAGGCTTCTTCAACCTCGGCCCTCCAGACGTTTTGAGACTACAATTCCCATCATCCCTGACCACTGGTCCTGCTAGCTAGGGATCATGGGAGTTGTAGGCCAAAAACATCTGGAGGGCCGAGGTTGAGGAAGTCTGTGCTATACACACACAGTGCTTTTTGTGATGGCATCACAGGTACAAAATTCCATCACATTTTTTGTTGTTGCTGCTGCCGCCCATAGCAGTCGTTTTGTGCTGGCACCCACAGCACTGGTATTATCATTATTAAATCACCTTCCTCACCGAAGTCATCCAAAGTGACTTACAATGTAGACCCAAAAACCAATGACAACGAACACAACCAATACAAAACTTTTTTTAAAAAAAGACCACAACCCACATCTATACAAAATTACCTGCCCCATTAAAAGAGACCACAAGTACCTGAAGCCCTTCAAATTAAAGGTCAAATCCTCAGGTAAAACAGAAACAATTTGCCTTTTATCAAGATATGAATATCAGCGCCTCGTTTTTCACCAATAAAAAGAAGACAGCACTGTCTGAATCCACATCCATGAAAACCTATCTCCAACACAACACCCTCAAAAGTGGCCAGCAAAAAGTAAAGCAGCATAGGATCTCCTGCAGATGAAAAAGGGAGTATGAGGATAGAAACAGGCTGGTTGTTTTGAGGCAAGTAACAGATTTGACCCTTATCGACCTGGCAGGTTGGTATGAGATAACGCTCTACAGGCTAAGACCAGGTTATGATGCTACCAAAGCATGCTCTTCAGCTGTGACCCTGGATTGCTGGCCTCCAATGACAGAAATGACATCACCTTACCAACAAAGGTCCGTATAGTTAAAGCCATGGTTTTCCCAGTAGTGATGTATGGAAGTGAGAGCTGGACCATAAAGAAGGCTGATCGCCAAAGAATTGATGCTTTTGAATTATGGTGCTGGAGGAGACTCTTGAGAGTCCCATGGACTGCAAGAAGATCAAACACATCCATTCTTAAGGAAATCAGCCCTGAGTGCTCACTGGAAGGACAGATTGTGAAGCTGAGGCTCCAAGACTTTGGCCACCTCATGAGAAGAGAAGACTCCCTGGAAAAGACCCTGATGTTGGAAAGATGGAGGGCACAAGGAGAAGGGGACGACAGAGGACGAGATGGTTGGACAGTGTTCTCGAAGCTACAAACATGAGTCTGACCAAACTGCGGGAGGCAGTGGAAGACAGGAGTGCCTGGCGTGCTCTGGTCCAGGGGGTCACGAAGAGTCGGACACGACTAAACGACTAAACAACAACAACAATGACAGAAATGCAACAAGACAAGGCAATGTGTGTCTGTTCAGAGCAGAAGCAGAGATGTGCTGTACCTCCCAGGAGTTCTTGTAATACAATGCAGGTATCCTCACATCACAACATCTACATACCAGTCCCTGACCCATCACAATGATTAGCATATTGCTAGTCAAGAAACCAGATTTTGGCCACATGTACAGGGGGAAAACCTAAGCACGGCTTGGCCTCAAGCCAAGGGTGCTGTAAAGATTTGAACTTAGACAAGTACTTTCTAATTCCGGCAAAAGCAGCAATGATTCTGTCAGAGTTAGACAAACATAACTTGTAATCCTCTTACAAGTGTCACAGACTATGTCAAAGAAATCTTCGGGGACCCAAAATTTTTCTAGCTCATCTATGGATCAATGATAGTCTAAGGGCAAAAGGAAGAAGCAGCAAAACATTTTGGGTTGTTTTTGTACTGACTTTGTAGCTGCAACTCTCAAGCGACAGCAATGCTGACAACTGCTTAAGCGAGTGTGAAAATGAAAGTACTGAAGTCTACCAGCAAATTCTTAGTGTCTTTGTTGTAAATAGTTTGCTGAAATGTTAGACTCGCTTGGAGGAAAATCCTGTGGGGAAAATGGCACTTTCTCTATGGAAGGAAAACAGAGGTTGATCAGGGAACTTACTGGAAGAAATATCAGAAAGATACTCAGATTGGATCTTTGCCTAATGTGCGAGCAAGCTGCTTGTCATTCAACCAATGATAGCACTTTGAAATTATGCTAGTATGTATTTCAGGCCTCTACTTAATTTAGCAAAGCAATTCTTGGTGCCTCTCCAATGAAATTTGTATCCAGATACCAAAAAAAGCCATGCACTTCCATTCATAACAAACATTCTTTTCCTTTTGGTAAGATCCCAAATTCCTCTTCTCAGCCATCTGCTTAACAGCTGATTCAAGATCCGTCTTGACTGACACATATCCGCTAACCACTGACATTGCATGTTCCCCACCCTACCCCGAGTGCTTAATATAACCTCCCCTCATCTTGCTCTCTTTCATTGTTAAAAAAGTTTAATACAATGCCCATGAAAAGCATCAGAACCTGACCTATCACATAGCAAAAAAAACCCCAGAATATCACTCTTCTTCCACTCCTAAAAATAACCCATGCTAGAGTCTGCTGTGTACATGAACTTGTTCACCCCTACAAAGTGAAGCCGAAGGAAATGTCATTCAGTATAAGAATCCTAGAATCCTGGAATTGTAGAGTTGGAATGGAGACCAAGGGTCATCTAGTCCAACCCCCTGCAATGCTGAAATCTCAATTAAAGCACCCAGACGGCCATTGAGCCTCTGTTTAAAAACCTTCAAGGAAGGAGAGTCTACCATCTCCCAAGGGAGACCCTTCCACTGTCCAACAGCTCTTACTTTCAAACAGTTCTTCCTGGTGCTTAGTCAGAATCTCCTTTCTTGCAACTTGGAGCCATTGGTTTGAGTCCTACCCTCCAGAACAGGGGAAAACAAGCAAAAGAATTATGAATTCTCCAAAAACTGTCAATACAGGTTAAGAGTGTGCACAGTTCCAGTGTATATGATTTTATAAAGCTCCAAGACTTGGATGCAGTTGATGGAAGGCAGAAACTAATGACCAAGAAGATTCTGGAAGATAGGACCATTGTTCCATATAACACAGTATTGCGCAATATCAGGGGTAGGCAATGGAGTGCCCTTCAAGATGAACTGAAGTTCCCCCCACAGCTGATCATTGACTATGCTGGTTGGTGCTCATGGGAGTCCAACAAGAACTCCTTGTCTATATTGACGGCTGACAGCTCTACCAGACTTCCTTCCTTGTCCTACCCAGAGATGCCAGGGACTGAACTTGGGAGCTTTTATGTTCAAATTATGGGCTCTGCCACTGAACTGCAGTCCTCCCCAGATACAACGAACTGAGAAAAAGAGGAACAGGGAGAGGAAGGGGCAAGAAATCTACTCCCAACCTCACCCTGAGAAAAACCTCAGGTGAAAAAGCAATGTCTATCACAAGAAGCAGTGTGTGTGCATTTTTTAAACAGTTATGGGAAACAAGTACTTATTAATTCAGCCAACTTCTACCTAATGACATTTCAAGAATCTAAGTGCTTGAAGGAAAAATCTTGGGCTCAGGAAGACTTACTCAAAAAGGTTTGTTTTGAATATGCCTCTGCGATAAATGCAATATAATGTGGGGTTATTTGAGAAACATCAATCATGTTTTATGGATTTGTGATAAATACAGTTGTAATTATAGCTCCCTGAAAATAATTCAGCTGTCACGTTTACCTTGTCAAAGTAAATAACACTGTCAATTTAGTTGATATGCATGACCTGAGTAAACATTTCAAAGCACGAATTTTGCAGTTACGCTCCTTCATTTTAAACAACTGCTCAAATGAATGTGCTTCCACTACAATTCAGCACATTTGCTATCACTCAAATAAAATGAAGGCTGCGCGCCAATAATCCATCCAAATGATTTGGAAACCATGCAAAGTATCTGCTCTGCAGTGCCACACGCTTTTAAATGGGCTTAAATCGGTATGTTTATCAACTAAAGATCAATCAGTCAGAATTGTGGCTTTCAAATGATGTTCCTATGAAGCCAGGATTTGCCCTGAAACTTATCAAGTGGATTAGGAAGAAAAATTAATTAAAGATACGCCATTTGATGCTATAAAGCAGCGGGATGGCAAACTAGATCTGGGCCAAGTTTGACACGTATGCAGGACCAGCCACCTGTCAATCACAACAGTGTCAAGTAGGGCTGGGTGACATCTGGTTTCCAACATCACAATATACCACCAGCTAAACATTGTGATATACTGATATAATCACAGTATCTGAGATAAAGATGGAGGTATATAGAGGCATTGGCTAGCTTCAAAGTTTTTCCCACATTGTGATTTTGGCACAGCACGCACACATAATTCACGATATATTGCCAGGTCAAAAACTATAGCTTACCAGTAATACATCCAATATACATCCACTGTATTTTCAAGTCATTTTTCAGACTTAAGTATTTTAGCATTTATTGAAAGCATAAGCAACAGAAAAATTCAGTGAGATAATTCTGCAGCTATTTGCTTTTTAAGGGAGGGTGACAAGCTCCATACCACTCGACTGTACAGACAATGGTTTTAGAATTCCTATTTAATCCAAATGATTAAAAAGTGTATGTGGTTTTTGCAAGATGAACTTGACAAAACACAAGCACTTTTTAAAACGGAAAGCTTTTTTTTTATAAAACTTTTTTTAAAAAATGCTGTGCCAATTAAACATATGGGATTACATGGAAAATTTCTATCATACAACACCTTTGTCATTCAGACCCATCAATGACGTTGTATTATTTAATAAAGTTGACTCATTTGTGCATGCTACTGTATGGTTCACTTCAACCTCTGAAGCATTTCAAATGCTGGGCTTTAAAGAGATTTATTTTATCGGCAGCAAACTACAGGGAGAATCACCTTCCATCCTATGAGTTGCAAATACATTCCATGGGTTTTACTTAAAACAAGTCCACAGCATCTGAGCCTAAGCCCTAATAATTTTTGTTGCCAGCATATTAAATGAAATGCTTGCAAGGCAGTGGAATCCTTGCCTTAACATCTCTGTAGAAATGACTAATTTTAGAACAGTTTTTCCAATCCCCAAATCCCTTGAACATATCATATAGGAGGTTTCAAAGTTCACAATACAGAAAGGCAGCCTCCTTAACTTCAATGAAGGGGGAAGCTCCGTGCAAAGGAAATAAAAAGGGAGCTGCTCTTTTTGTGTAAATGAATGGGGAAGTCTACATGCACAATAATTCTACATGTTCATCCTTGAAGACATTGGTAATGGGTGGGAGCAGCTGAGTTCCCATGTTTTGTCTTCACTGTCCTATAGCTTTGGCAGCCCGCTTGAGCTGAAGCTCACAAAGGTGAGGAAATTGTTTGGCACAAGTTTGGGGTGAATGCAAATTCAACAAGCCTCGTGTTCTGTAGAGTTCTCCAATGCAAGACAACTTCAAATGAGTCACTCTCTAAGGGAAAACTCAAAGTGGGTATGTTGTAAGGTACAACAACAGACCTTGAACCTGGAATTTCATAACCATGACTTGGGAGATGGTCAAGTGAGCTGTCCGTCTAGGCGAGCAACACTGGCACCAGTAACTGGCGAGTAACAGGAAACTTCTGATTTGGCTATGCCTCATAGAATTATAGCTGGAAGGGACCACAATGGTCATCTGATCCAACCCCCTGCAATAGATAAAGGATACCAAGCCTTCTGACCTTGCCTAGCCTACAGAGCAGTACCTTCTCCCTGCTAAGACTTCAGCTCTTCAAATCTAGGCTCCAGGACCAGCAACTGACCTGGATTGAAGAATAGACCTTCCCAGCCTATATCTGGGTACAGCCACTGCTCACAGCCCAAGCTAGGCCCTGGTGCTCACCACCTTTCATATTCCTATCAGAAGAAAGTTCTGTGTGAAACTGCTACTCTTGCACAGAGTCAGGATTGTGCAGGCCAAGAATGTCTTTCTAGAAGTGTAAAATAGTCCTGTCCTCACGGTAAACACATTGCGCTGCATCTTACGTAAAATGTGAAGACCCCCACAAACTTGACCTACCTTTTTCTTAGTGTTGATTCGCCAACTTTAACCACTCTGATGACTTCTTTCACAGTGCGCCGAAAATCATGCATTCTTGCCGCAACTAGAAGAGCTAGAGCATAAACAGGGAAAGGGCTACATCAAAAGGCAGTTCAATGCGGGGGAAAGCAAGGGAATACAGTGAGTCATGCAAGTACCATCTGAAATTCTAATTCTCATATTAATTTTAAAATATTGATGTTTAGCTCTGGGCTTGAATACAGAGTGATTAAATTGGAATTTTATAAAACTTACTTTGCATGCAGTAAAATCAAGCCAGCTGCAGAAAAAGTTCTATAAATGCAACACAGGGCTTTTTTCTTTTTCTTTTGGACACACCATATATATATATATATCCTTGCAAACTCACATGCACACACACTGCAAGGCAAAGGGCAAAGAGCTCCAGCATTGATGCAAAGTTCACGTTCCTCACCCCAATGATCATGATCAGACATGGCTGAAGCAAAATGCTGTAGCATTGCAGAAGCTAAGTGACAATGAAGATTAAGGGGTGGAGCTATGCAGATAGAAGGAGGCTTGATTCTCAACGGCAAGGATCACCCGGTGATGGAAAGCAGGTTTAGTCCATCCATCCCAAGCCCAACAGGGTTCCCAAGTGCACCCATTTACATATATTTAGATGGATGTTATTTATGTTCTGCATTTGTCCCTCATCTACATAATCAGTGAAACTGTCTCAACCTAAAAAAAGATTATAAAAGATGACAAAAAATGCTTGACCTGTAGTTGTGGAATGCCACGGTCAAGATTACAAGAATAAATCTGTCCAGGACAAACAGGTGCAGAACCCTGGCTTAAATAAAATGGGATTGCCTTTTGATCCAGCTGTATGATGTCTGGGATCTGTGGGCAAATTCCCTTCCACTGTAATGTGTACCAGGGCTTGAGTTATCTGTGGTTCAATTGAAAGCACAACAGAAGCTTCTAAAGTACAGAAAGGAATGGACAGGGGGACAATTTTCTCCCTAATTCTAGAACCTGAAAAGTCACCCAGCAAAATTCACTAAAAGCAGAGACCAAACAAAAAACAATAAAACCCCACTTTTTCAAACAACATTTATTCACAAGGCTGTCACCCAAGTCAATAAATCCTAGTCAATAAAATCTGTACAAGTTTGCATGTGAATAAACAATAATTCTGAAGAAAAGGGCACTGCTAACACATAATGGGCACTATGCAGCAATAGTTAGATTCAGAGTAGACCTATTGAAATCAATAGAATTAAGTAACTTGCCCATTTATTTCACTTTGTGCAAGCAGTCTTGCTCTACATAATGGGACTTTCTCCCCTCTCCTCCTGCCCCCTGTGTTTCCCTAACCCTCTGGAGTAGATATAGGAATAGTCCAGGGCACACATGGGGCGGGGGGGGGAAGAGGGCAAAAAAGTCTCATTGTACAAGTGCGAGTCATTCTACTCATGCATCTTCATATAGAATACTGTGCTGAGAATGGCTAATGTCTGATACCACCCTGTACCTACACTTCACAGTAGTCATAGTCTTGAAGAGAGTATTTTAAGGGAGAATTGGGCATTTCTCTTCAACGTCACCTGTCACCCCCAAGTCTTTTTAAAGCACTTATCTTTTATAGAGTTGGTTTTGTTTTAATCTTTGAAAAACTGATTAATTGGTTAAATTTTGCAGTATTACTTTGCTGACTAGTGCAATCAAATGCCATCGTGTTCACTGCCCTGCTTCACAGTTTTCCAAAGGAATCTGGCTGGCCACTGTTAAAAGAAAATTGGACAAGATTGATCATAGTCTGATCCAGGAGGCCCTTTCTTCTGCTCTTCCATAATCACCTAATTCCATGTGCTACATAAACCACTAGCACGATGCTCTTCAGGGAGCTTATTGTCTCTGCTTGTGGAATACTAATGTGCGGATTACTCCACTAGAAACTCATGCTGCGTTGCGAGGGGTTCTGTTAGGCCAGCGGAGGGTGGACTTTAGCCTTGCTTTCTTTAGCAAAACCTCAAGCCCCCACCAACTGCAGCCAGATGCAAAACAGTGGCATGGGGACACGTTGTTTAAAACAGGGGTCGGCAACCTGTGGCCCGTGGGCCACAAGCAGCCCACAGAGATCATTTAAACGGCCCACGAGCCATTCCTGAACCAAGCTGCCCACTCGGCGAGTCCCCACTAGCTGCACTAAACCGGCGCAGCGGGGAGCGGGGACTCGCTTCCGCGGCGCCGGAACACGATCCGGCCCACGGAGCAATCTCCAGAGGAGTGAACCAGCCCCTTGCTGGCCCCTGGTTTAAATTAAGGGACAGGGTACCTCCAAGACATGCTCAACCCTGGAAATTGTTTCCAGCACCAGGACTGAGCTTCCTGTCACATCACAAAGACCCAGCCCTGGTTTTCTTCCTCAAGCTTTCTTCCTACCAGCAGCACAGTTCAGAAAGGGGGAAAGGGCTTTCTGTAGTTGCACTTGTTAAACAATTTGGAGTCAAAGTCTCTGCTGATCTATTGCAAACCATAGAGTGATCAGTTACCAGCAGAGTTTGATCTACCGTTCTGCTGTTGTCGGCATCCATCTATCTCAAGAGACAACTGAATGAACCTCTGGGGGTGAAGTCAAACTGCTGCATTAGCAGCACTGAAGTGACTTCCCTGGGGTGCAAGCCTGGGCAGTGTGTATTTCTATGGGTCCTGAGCTGCCCAGAGGACAAGACCCGCCTCTTGGCTCTGCTGATGTGGTCCAAAGGAAAGCAGAGCAGTATGTTTGAGAGTCCCATGGACTGCAAGAAGATCAAACCTATCCATTCTGAAGGAAATCAGCCCTGAGTGCTCACTGGAAGGACAGATCCTGAAGCTGAGACTCCAATACTTTGGCCACCTCATGAGAAGAGAAGACTCCCTGGAAAAGACCCTGATGTTGGGAAAGATGGAGGGCACAAGGAGAAGGGGACGACAGAGGACGAGATGGTTGGACAGTGTTCTCAAAGCTACCAACATGGGTTTGACCAAACTGCGGGAGGCAGTGGAAGACAGGAGAGCCTGGTGTGCTCAGGTCCATGGGGTCAAGAAGAGTTGGACACGACTAAACAACAACAATATGTTTGGCACCAGCTTGGCTGCAGGAGTTAAAGGAAGGAGGTGTACAAGGTGCTATCCAAACTCTTTGGATTAGTCCCTGGAGTTGAATTCCAACCTTCTTCAGCTTGATTCTAAGGCCGTGCTTGTCGATTCACCAACTGCTTCTTACTTACAAAATGAACAGGGGGTCACCTGCAAAGCACCTTCTGCACAACCCACTGCTGCTGCTCTATGCACCCAACAATTCCCACAAATTCTTCCATACCTGCACCACAAAGCCCCGAAGGCCGTCGCCCTGTGTGCATCCAGTCTCTCTTCATCTGCTGCAGGAGCCTTAGGGCAGTCATGGAAACCTCATGGTTCTTATCGCCAAACTCCAGCATGTGTGCAAAACGAGGAATATATAAACATGGATCTGCAACAAAACAAGAGTCGGCTATTTCTGATCCTGACCTTTACTTTCGTGAACATGCTTCTTGAACAATAAAGCCTACCGTCAGTTCTTAGTTCACTGACAGAAAATGGGTTACACTACTGCAACATTTCCAATCCAGACAGGTAACAACATATTCCAGCGGAAGAAGTACATAGGGACATGGAAAGATGTTTTATAGAGTCAGACCATTGGCCATGTAGCTGAGCACTGTCTAAATTGACTGACAGCGACTGTTGTGGGTTTTGGACAGAGGGAACTCCTAGCTCTGTGTCAGGGATTGAGCCAGGAACCTTTTGAATGCAAATCAGATGTTCTACCAAAAAAAACCCCAAACCCACCATGATTTTCAAGTTAGTGCACTACACAAGGAAATAACATGAACTGCTGACTGCTGTGGACTGTAAAGAATACGACAATGCATGCAATAACCAGGGCAGTAAAAGATATTGCCAGAATGCTAGGGAAGGGGGGAGGCGTGCCCAGGGGTGTGCTAGACTAGAGGGCAGCACCACCTGGGAGCAGGAAGTGAAAGTAAAAAATAATGTTCTCGTAAAGCATGCAGAACTTTTTGTCTGTAAATTTTTCCCGTATCAAGTGTTCCTCTCTCATATCACAGATCAAGGGGGTGGGGAGAAGAGGTCATAAAATGTTTTACTTAACAACAACAAAAAATCTGCAATTTTTATTCTCGCACTTTTATTTAAGCATACTCTTTTATATTATTATTTACAATGCACATACAACCACGCAATTACACCAACTCAAATACCGACAATACAGAAATACAAACATAAATGCTACACCGATGTGACTTCCCTCCACCAGCGTTCATCACTTCTTATTTTTTAATATTCTTATTTAGATTGTGATTTGTAACTCTCATCCTTAATATTATTTCTTAACTAATATTTTGTTTTCTGAGCCAACTTCACAAACTTATCAGACTCGACACAGGGGGTACGTGATCAGTACCTCCTGTACAAATTTATTTGTCTTTTGCTTCAAAACAGCAATGTGAGGCACTGGCAGTGGGTCAAAGGCTGCTGCTGGGTCAAATGAGAATCTGAAAATATTTATTTATGTAAGTTACATATACTGCTTTTCAGTATTGTTTTAATCTGTTTCATTCTCATTTACCGTTGCACCATTTGGTAGGATACAAATTTAACAAATAGTTAAAACACAAAGCAGTCATCCATGTTCAGATATCACAGGAAACTTGGTTTGTTTAAAAGCAGAAGCGGAAGCTCCTAATCTCCTTGTAAATGCAAAAAGGGAGAAATGTGTAAGCCTAAGGCTCGTCAAAGTTTCTTCACACAGCTGGAAACCACGGTTTTTCATTTTATATGAACTAGGCATGAAAATAAAGAACTCAGATTAACACAGTATCAAGTGAGCACACAGCTAAGGAAGCATTCCCTCTGCACTCTAACAATCCTATATTCAACCAAGTCCTACTCAGAGTAAACCCACTTAATTCATGAACCTAAGTTAATAATGTCTATTAACATCAATGGATCTACTCCAAATAGGACGAGCATTGAATACCACCCACTCACTCTGTGCTCACCCTGCCCTCGCTGCTGACAGGCGGACACTCATGCACCGGGGGGGGGGGAGGAGGAGGGCACAGAGGGTGTTTACCTTCTGCCCTCTGCCCCCGCTTGGCTGCCGCTGCAGCAGCAGCCTCTGTCCCCAAAGGGGGCGGGGCACACAAGCCTAACCAGGGCACTGTAGGGAGGCACTACTTCCCTGGGCCAGGTTGCTCACTGGGACAAGACACTTTGAGCATATTACACCGAACCTGGTCTGACTGCACTGGTTGCTGATTAGTTCCTAGGTCATTTCAAAGTGCTGGTTTTGACCTATAAAGCCTTAAATGGCTCAGGACCACAATACCTCAAGGACCACCAACCTGGACCCTGAGATCATCATTCGAGGCCCTTCTTCATATGCCTTCTCCACAAGAGGTCCGGAGCGTGGCAATGCGAGAACAGGCCTTTTCTTCTTCCCAGGCTCTTCCCAGAGAGGTTCACCTGGCACCTTCATTGTTTATATTTAGGCACCAGGAGAAAAACATTTCTCTGTAAGCAGGCCTTTGGCTGATTAACATTCTACGTCCTTTTAAATATGGGGGCTTGGGGGTGTATTGGTTTGTTTTTGTTATTTTTATTATGTTTTTTGTGTTCTCGTTTTGTGTTTTTGTTTTGAACCAACCTGTGACCTTCAGATGAAAGGCAATATACAAATTATTATTATTATTATTAATAATAATAGGCTTGTGGGGTTCATTAGGCATCTGGTTGCCACAGTGGGGAGCAGAATGCTGGACAGATGATCCACTGGCATGATCCAGGACAGAAGCTCTTCTACTGAAAGGAATCCTTTTTAAAGAAAGGGATTCAGTCTGGTTTCTTGAGTCCAGTTTATTTTTTATTAAACCATAAACACAACTCAGCACTTCAGCACCTTTCGCAAACCCCACAAGCACATATTTTTTTATTCAGCTTAAAATACAAATGAAAGAAAAATGAAGCATTTTAACCTAGCAACTCCAGGCTTGTGGACTCTCTTTCCTTGGAAGTTTTTAAACAAAGGTTGTATGACCATCTGTCATGGATGCTTTGGCTGAGATTCCTGCATTGCAGGGGGTTGGACTACATGACCCTTGGGGTTCCTTCCAACTTTGATTCTGTGAAATTAATGGTTCCAATTAGCTAAGCACTGCAAACCAGCTCCACCTGGTACGCAGGCTGAGACCCTACCTGCCCGCAGACTGTCCCGCCACAGTGGTGCATGCTCTGGTTATCTCCCGCTTGGACTACTGCAACACGCTCTACGTGGGGCTACCTTTGAAGGTGACCCGGAAACTGCAATTAATCCAGAATGCGGCAGCTAGACTGGCGACTGGGAGTGGCCGCCGGAACCACATAACACCGGTCCTGAGAGATCTGCATTGGCTCCCAGTATGTTTCCGAGCACGATTAAAAGTGTTGGTGCTGACCTTTAAAGCCCTAAACGGCTTCAGTCCTGTATACCTGAAGGAGCGTCTCCACCCCCATCATTCAGCCCGGACACTGAGATCCAGCGCCGAGGGCCTTCTGGCGGTTCCCTCATGGCGAGAAGTGAGGTTACAGGGAACCAGACAGAGGGCCTTCTCGGTAGTGGCGCCCACCCTGTGGAACACCCTCCCTTCAGATGTGAAGGAAATAAGCAGCTATCCTATCTTTAAAAGACATCTGAAGGCAGCCCTGTTTAGGGAAGTTTGGAATATTTAATGCTGTACTGTTTTTAACATTTGACTGGGAGCTGCCCAGAGTGGCTGGGGAAACTCAGCCAGATGGGCGGGGTATAAATAATAAATTATTTTTTTTTATTATTATTATTATTATTATTATTATTATTATTATTATTACTACTACTACTACTACTACTACTATTACTATTACCACCCCCCACCCCCTTGTTTCAAAAGCCAGACCATGGACCCCCTACTTTTGAAATTTTTGCTATCTCTATGGTAGTTTTTGGGCGACTTCGCCTTGGTTTGGGCGGACGAAAACTTTTGCAAAGCGCTATGCCCCCCCCGTCTTTGCCCGAAGGAGGGGGTCGCACGGAGTGAGAAAAGGAGCACTTTGCCAGGCTCGGGCCAGAAGGAGCAGGGGCGCCCTCGCTCGGCTCGCTTCGGAAGGAAGCTCTCTCGGGGCCGCCGCCGCCGCTGCACTAAGCTGGGATCGGCGAGGCGGCCCCTCCCGCCTGCCTGATGCTGCTGCCGCCGCCGCCGGAGACTGCCATTTCCATAATCATGGCTTCTGACTCCAAGGATGAGTCCGCCGCGCAAACTTTCCCAGCCGGGCTGGGGCGAGGGGGCGCCTGGTGAGCGGGCGAGCAGGTACACTTGGGTGGCTTTTATCAGGGCCGTGGGGTGGGCGGCGGCGATGGGAAACGGGGAGGGCCGCGGCTGGGACCGGGCGATCCAGGGTTGGCCGGGCGCTGCAGCCGAGTTCGCCAGCTGCAGGACTGCTTGCCGTGGTTACCCTGAGCGACCCGACCGCCCCCTCCAGAAAAAACCACGCACTTTGCAATTAGACCAAGAATGGCAGTCGGTGCCGACTGGCAAGGCATAACAGAATTTGCAAAATCTGGACGCTCCACTCCAGCTGAGGCTTGCATTACGCCTGGGAAAGGAAAGGGGGGGTATCCAGACCTGGCCCCGTTTGTTTACTGCTTTCCCGATGGCGTTTTGGGGCAGCGGCAGCAGCAAACGCAGAGGCGAGGTCTGGCGAGCTGCTGCCAAGTGTGTGTTGTGTAGGAAGGGGAAGAATTTTCCCATGCAATCGCTTAAAGGTGGGGGGTAAAGGACGCCCCCCACCCCCACCCCAAAAAAGCAGCCGAACTTTTATCTGCAAAAAAAAAAAAAGCCCTGCAGATCCCTTTCTAAACTGAAATACTTCTGCAGTTTCCGCGGCGCCTTTCGCGAAATTGCTGGAGGGGTTTTTTGGGGTTTGCAAAGCGGGGGCTGCATGTTGTTCTTCGTTCTCTTCTGCTCCACTGCAGCCGCGTTTGTGTATGTCTGTGTGTGTTGTGCTTTTTCAAAATCTGCTTCGCCCAACAAGGAGAGCGAATTTGGGTTTCCTGTAAATTTCCCAAATGGAGGAGGGGACTGGATTGATTGGCGAAAAAAGGGAGGGGGGAAGGGGGTGGGCGGCTAGCAAAGGAGGGGAGAAGAATGACATATTGTCTGGCAGGGGAGGGGTGGCAGGAGGGAGGCAGCCCTCCGTCCCTCCCCGTGCGCCCTGCTCTCCGCCGCCTCGCCATTGGAGCAGGCGCCGGTGACGCGCGGAGCTGCTGCTGGCTATTTGAGGCAGCGGGAGGAGGAGGCGGCGGAGGCAGCAGCAGCAGCCGCGCCAGAAAGGGAGAGACGGGCGAGGAAGCACATACGCGCGAGGAGGCGCACACGCGGACGGCCACGGGCGCCC